TCAGTGTGTTGTCACGTGGAACTATTTTCAAGTCAACTACTTGAAATTAAATTAACTGGAGATAAAAGTTTCAATTTAGTGAGCGGATATCGAGAAGTGCTGTTTTCTAAATTAAATTATCGAATTTCATTTAATCTAAATTGGAAAATTATTCCAAAAAGAAGGGAAATTAAAAATACGAAAGGTTTTTAGTGTCACACGCGCGTATTTACAGTGAAAATGTTTCGTTTTAATTTTATTTATTTATTTTTTTTTTTATTTCTTTTGTTTGCTGTCGAAACTTCCCGGAAGACGAAAGCGCAAATCAAATGAAATTAAGAGGACTAAAAAGTAGAGAGCTGGAAAAAATTCCAATATTGGTCTTGTTTAACTGACAGAATGTGAGCATTGTCAAAATGTTTCATTTTAACTAACCAACTAATCAACCAATCATTTTTGTACACTGTGTACATTTAATTACATAATTTACAGGAATTACTTTTAAATTAATTATTCCATGCTCTCGTAGTTTAATTTAATTTTTAAATAAAAAAAAACCCGAAATTAATTTATTCCTCGTTATTCAGATAAAAAAAAATATATTTTTTTTTTCTCTAAACAAACGTTTTATCTTTGAAAACTTTTTCACATATAGAAAAAAATGTTATTTAATAAAAAGTTCTATAAAAAATATGAAAAATATAAAAGAAAGTTTTTAAATATTTTATAAAGCTTTTGTTTAAAAAAAATTGTTTTATTGAAAAAGGATTTTATTCTAAAAATATATATTTAATTCCAAAGAAAACGTATAATAATTTTAAAAAAAGTAATTTAAAAAAAATGTTTTGATTTGAATAAAAATATTTTATGTAAAAAATGTAATTTTTTTTCATAAATGATAGAAAAAATTTAAACGCTTCGCGATTTTTGAGAGGTATTTTTTTTGGCTCAGTCATGACAAATGAGGGTGAATCAAAATTCTCGGGAGGTAAAGAAATATTTTTCTTCTGCCTTTATTCCCCAGTTACCTACTATAATGAAGCACATGCTTTATTTCCTCAGACTGAATGACAAAGCAAAATAATCCGTTTATTTACTTTCCGCTCTTTCTATTTTTTCTTTTTTTTTTTTTTTTTTAAATGATCTGTCAGTAACCATTTCACGTTTGTCTTAATTTTCGAAGCATTATTCTATAGGGGCAATATGTTTCCTATAACGAGAAAACAAATAATCCGATTTGAAATCCCATCAGTCTGAAAATTTTTCATCTTTCATGAATTCTGTCCCAACTCGATTCTGTTAATCTGTCGCGCACATTTCGGAGTGATTCTCTGGCGTTTTACTCTATTTTTTTCTTCTTTTTTTTTCTTCTTTTTTTTTCTTTCTTTCAAATGCGCCATTTTTCATGTCGGTTTCTCCTTTCCACGCAACTTCTCATTTAATTAATGGATTAGTTATCGCGTGTGGAAATATACATTGTGCGCGCCACCCACGGGAAAGAAATTCGTTTATTTTATTTTTTTTTTTTTTAGGGAAATGGAAATTTATTTGTTTATGAATTTATCTTAATTTCTATTTCGTAGACTAAATTATCATTCTGAAGAAGCAAAGCGCAATATTTACTAGGGGGCAAAAAATTTCACGTTTCACATATTCGAATATAGATAAATCCTATACAGCTTAGAACAGATCTTTCGAATTTGTTAGACTGGAAGAAAAATCAGTCGAACAAAGGACAAAAATTTTTATGAAAAATCTTGCGTGAACAATGAAGAAAAGTAAAGGAGAATTATAAGTGAACAAAGAATAAAGAAAAGGAGAATCGCAAGTAAACAAAGGAGAAAGAATCCTCAATTCAATTAAACAAATAAAGGAGAAAAAGAAAAGCTAAAGAGAACAAAAGAGACAGAAGTGAAGACAAAGGAGAAACGATTAAACCAAAACTGAAAAGAAAACAAAAATCAGCTGACATAAAGAATGTGGAAAATTATTATAAACAAAAAAGTCAATTAGAGAACTAAATTATTAAGAATTTATTATGTATTTAGAATTTAATAATTTCTAAAATGTTTTACCATTGTTGAAAAAATAAAAAAATAAATAAAATATTTTATAAATTAAAGAATGTATATAGCTTTTATATCTAGTAACAAAAACTAATTGCACCTATAAAAAAAACAAATATGAGGATACAATATGAAACTATGACTAAAAACTCTATGAAAATAGTTCATCAAAATACATTCCAAATTTTTTGAATCTTTCATTTTTTTGAAAATAATTAAAATTTCTGAAGATCTGATTAATTGTATTTATTTTTAATCCAACTTTTGCTTATTTTAATACCAAAATGGATTAAAATAAGCAAAATTGGAGTAAAATAATAAGCGTTGTAGCTTATTTTAATGTCTTTTAATTTTCTGTGTTTTCGAGATTTTAAATTTAAGCATACATATTATTTTGAAACATCTATTTTCATTGGATCACTAAATTTATATAAAGATTTCAATTTAATTATGTCTGGACTTCTGTAAAATTATCTTTTATTGTACTATTAATTATTTGCTAATAAATGTAAATTTTACATTAACTGGATTTTTTGAAATTTTAATTCGTTCAATTTGTCATATCGACATTTCAGAAAATCTGAATTAATTATAAGAATTAAATTTCCATAGTTGGAAATAATTTATGAAGATTAAAATTTCTAAAATTTAAATTTGTTATAAGATTGTCATTTTCAAAATTAAATTATTTGAGAATTTAACAAGTTATAAATTTAATTCAAAATTTAAATATAAACAAAATTGAGATATAGAAATTAATATTTAAATTTCTCATTCAAATAAACTAGGTACTACAAATAATAATATTATATATGCTATTTATATGTAGTTCAAAATTATTTATAGACCAAAATTACGAAAAAAAACTAAAACCTTAGCATAAATCTTTAAAAAAATTTCCTTTTTTCTAAAAGGAATTTTTTTTGAAATATTAGAAGAAAAGAAGAAAAAAAAACATTAAAAGCACCCGATTGATTGATAGAAACATCGAAAAGTTGACTTCCTGGATCATTTCTCCTGGCATTGTCCGCTTCCCCTAATACAACCTCTGATCGCCTTGCTACAATCCTGACAACAATAACGCAAAAGGTTCCATCAAGTGTCAGACCTTCATACACATATAGTGTGAAGATGACAATGTATCCTATTACAAACTTTAAAAATCCATCACACGCAAGAGCCGTCGGATGAATGGAAAAAGAAGAAAAAAAGAAGAAGAATCTCGTGTGTATATATATACGGGATTGAAAAAAAAACACGCTTCGATAGACACGATGCAGCTGTCCTTGGAAAAATCGAAGGAAGGCGATAAACCTCCCGGGATTGACCTTGAAAGCCGCAAGGGCCCCGATCTTGTCGTGTGCTTTTGCCTGTAAATAATCGAAACTGAGGTGGGAATGGGAGGGGTTTTATGAAAAAAAAGAGAAGAAGAAGAAAAAGAAGGAGGAGGAGAAACTCACGTGGATAGATGAAAAATTCTGGTATGGTCCCACGAGCAGCACATCGACGACCAGGCTAGTAAACCGTTTCTACCTGACGCAAATGGTAAAAATCTCAGACACAAGAATCATCATTTTCACATTCCACTATATTTTTTTCCATTTGCCTGGCGCTCGGGAAATCGTAAAATAAAAAAAAAAGACTTTTGCGCTAGTTGGTGAAAATCACATACACACACCTGTCCCGCGGCAACGAGACTTTTAATCCACGTGACTGCACAAATTCACGATATGTTCCGTCATTTGTCACTCGCACTTATTTCTTCCTCTATTATAACACTAATCAACTTCTCTATTCTTTGGGAAAATCACCTTTCTTTAACGCTCAAATTACTTCTTTTTTTTTTTCTTTTACAGATGAACAACTCTTCAGAGAAGGGTCAAATTACTTTTGATTTTTTTCTACATAAATCTGCTTCTTTTTCATTCAACAGTGTCAAATTATTTTCCGAACACTCGAAAATATTTTATATAAACATCCTTTTTTTATATTTTTCAAACATTTTTTGACAACAGTAAACTTTACGTTCTTTTTCCAAAAAAAAAACCACTTCTTTCTTCAATGAACATTCAAATCACTTCCTCTATTTTTTTTTGTCACTTTTTCCCTATTTAAACAGAATTTCTCTCTTAGAAAAAACACTGTCAAATTTTGAAACAGTAAATTAAAGGAAAAACAAATTCTAAAATTTATTTTATAAAAACTTCCGAAATTATCTACCGGAAGAAAATATATTAATATCCAAACTAAAGATATTAATTAAATATTAAAAAAATATTAAACTGATTAGAAAGAAATATTGTCATTAAAAGAAATTGACATTGTTATTTTAGGAGCCACACACGCGCGATCCGGCCATCGTGCGGCTTTCGTCTGATATAACTCGGCACGCAACGCGATGAGGGTAGAGAAAGAGGGGAGGATGTAGAGTTGAGGGTGAATGGAAGGGGTCGGGAGTCGAGAAAAAAATTTGAGCGGGGGTGGAAGAAAGAGAGAGAGAGAGTGAGAGAGAGCAATACTCACTAGAGAGAAAGAGAGGGAGGGAAAAATAAAGAGAGAGAGGGGGAGAACAAAGTAGAAAGAGAGAGAGAGAGAGAGAGAGAAAGAGAGCGGAAAAGGAAAGCCTCGTGGTTCACCTAGAGATTTCGGCGTGTATCGCAGACTGAGGCTCCGATCTCACTGATTCGAAGTTGGACTATGTTTCGTTGAAAGACTTGTGCGCAGCCGACAACCACCGTCACTGCCAGAGCACGACCATCGCCATCCCCCAAACCCCATATATAGTTACCCCCTCAAAACACCACACCAACCCCGAGACCAGCGCCCTGACTCTCTAGTGGTAGCGAGAGAGTTGAGCTAATCTCGAAGCTGAGCGAATCTTATATAACGAGAGAAAAGGGAAAGACTTTCTATATATACATTGTATAAGGGTTGTGTTATAGTTGACTCTCATACCTGTCGAGATCCACTCCTCTTCTTCAACTCTCGCGTGCCACTCGAGGGAGTGCAATTCCAACCCTCCTCCTCTCCAGGTTTCTAATAACATTGCGGCTGGATCTTTGATGAAGCTAGATTGATGGTGTTTTGTTTGTCTCTGTTCTTTATGAGCTCTCTTGCCAAGAAGGGTATGCTGGATATGCTACTTTCTCGAGGGTGTGTGTGTGTGTGTGTGTGTGTGTAAAGGCCTTCAGTCCAGACAGATCTCTTCGTGATATTATATTATTATCTTTCACGTTGTTTCCCTGAGCACCTAGAAACCAAGATATTCAATTAGTTAACAATATTCTCTGCGCGTTTGAATCTCATATATTTTGACTCTGGCAGATAACAATGAGCGAAATTTAATTTGATATAATTAATTTGTCAGTGCGTCGATTTTAGAGTCAGTCAATTGGAATTGACTGATTTTATATATATACCATATTATATAAAATAATTTAATGGGTATAAAATTATTAATTTTATTTTCACAAGAATTTTTCAATCCTTTGTGTCATACATGAAACACAATTTTTAGTTAATAGAATTCACTGCAAAAAAATTTGGGAACCCTCTATAAAAAAGGGAATTAAAATTTCAACTCCCAACGGGACTCTAAGTTCCACCCTTTTGGGATTGACACTGTAAAAAAAGATAGTTAGATTTTAACTCCCAACGGAGTTTACTTTTAACTCGAAAAATTTTAATCTAATGTTAACACATTTTTGGAGTGAATTTTCAATTCAAAAAATTTTACAACTCCGAAATTTTTTACGGTGTTGGGAGTAAAATTTTTCGAGTTAAAAATCAATTCCAAAAGTTATTTTTCTTTTAAAAAATGTTCTATAATATTTATCAGAATTTCTATTATGCTAAATAAAAGATTGCCACAATAAAAATCCTGTTATAAAAAAGAAGATAAGAAAGATAAATAATAATTTAAATAAAAAAAATACATTATAAATGTTATACAAACGAAACAGGCGATTATTATACGAAATAGCATATTAAATATTTTTCTTTAAGATGTAATGAAAAGTAACTCAAGTTCTAAAATTCTCTCTCCTATAAAAAGGATAAGAAGATTTCTCTTATGTACTGAATATTTCTTCCTGTACAGGGATTTTGCTGACAAAAATTTCTCGGAAAACTCGTACTTTTTATCACTAAAAAAAAATGTACAAGAGCAATTTTTTTTTTAAGAAGGTCTAAAATTTTCAACTTATTAGTATTGGCTATTATATAGATCATCAAAATCCTGTTAAAATGAATAATATATTCAAGTTGAAGGTTAGAGGGTAAAAAGTCAGGACCGAAATTCGCCTCAGGTCGGTATATATGGCAGTTGTCGTTCTCTTTCTTTCATATGCCGTTCGTTATAAAGAAAGAAAGAGAAATCTTTCCCCAAACTATATATATGTATATATAATAGACTTGACTCCCCTCGCTGTATTAAAATTTATATGAATTGCTGCTTCCAAGCTGTTAAATTTCAGATATGCTAAAAAAAATTCACATACACAGCAATATCCCTAAGTAATAAGACCATAATTCCTGTAATAAAGCTCAATTTTCTTTAGAAGTCGACTCCATATTTTTTCTCATATATATTAGAATTCTTATATTATTGTTATGAGTTTATAATCTCGTAACTTTCAAGGCGAAAATTTATTATAATATAATATATAAATTACTATCACCGGTACACCGTAAAAATAGTTGTCACTTTTTATAAATATTAAAAAAAAAATGGAAAGTAATATAATAATTTAAAAATATAATTATTGTTTAATATTTAAATAATAGATTATTATGAATATAACGCGTCTATATACCTATAAATAAAGCCATTTTAACTATGCGCTTTGTGTAGAAAAAACTTAATTATTCACCGATGACTGCACAATATCAAACTCGGAAATTCAAGCACAGTACAAAGGATATTGAACTCTCAGACGCGCTTTCATGGGAATAACACTTAAATTTAACGAACCTATTATCACTGAGAAGGCAGAATAATTATCTCCTCTACTCAAATTCTAATTTCTAAACTTTTTTTTTTATTACAGATTTCATTGAATCGCAAGGTGAATCAGAGACTCGATTTCAGTAATGAAAAGCTACTAATCCGATTTCTGTGAAATTTCGATTTAACAGCAATCAAATGAAGATCACGAGGTCCTTAAAATAAAATAAAAGGAATCTTTATCCTCATCGAAGATATATTCCTCTCACAAATGATCTAATTTAAAAATCCATCTCGCTATATTTCCTTTTTAAAATTATTATATTTAAATTTTTTTAAATAAAATAATATAATAAAATAGTTTAAATCTTATTTAAAACTCTAAGAAAATGGAATTTGGTGAAAAAAAAAAAAGAAAAATAAAATAAAATCTATTTCTCGACGCGCAATGACGCGCGCTTGGAAGGAAAAAACGTCAAGATGGAAAATTGTTCCCAAAGGAATAAAAAATAAAAGTTTACTTGATTCTCGAGGGAAATTCCCATAGCATTCTTCAACCAATAAATCAATTACATATTTCAATATATATATCTATATACAATTTTCAAAGAAGCTTGACTAATTTTTGAACGATTAACATTCTGTAAATGTACTGGCGAACCTTCCGGTAGTAAAAGGAGACCGTGAACATTATTAACTATACAAGTATAAATGCGACTCGCAAGCTTACCAAATGTAACACGGCGTACATACAAATGCACTTTCATAACGATAAGCGCCACTTTATTATTATGCAGAAGACGGTGCTTGGCAGTCTAAAGTTTCAATCGCATAAACCTAGACGTGGCAGACGCTATTGCGCCAAAGGAAAAATGAACCGCGAGAGATTCCGCGAGACATGCTCTCGGCAAGAAACACGTATATATATATATATATATATATATATAGCTATATATCTCAACCATATATAGCAGAGTCTGAAAAGTTAGTGTAAGTGTATTTTCAGAGAACACACATCTTCGGTGGCGAAAACCCCACAAGAATTTGGCTCCGAATCTTTCCCTCCTATCTGGTCATATCCAGGAGGAAAGAGCCAGAGAGACGCCTATATGGTGCGCCGCTTGGCTCCCGTCCCGGCGGACTGTTCGCGAATTACTTACACATTGTTTAAATGCAAAAAATTTCGATTGAAATGACGAAAATTAAAACGAGAACTAGGATAGGTCAGAGGAAAGCTGTGCCAAAGCCATAAAACTTGTGGCTTTGGGTCGATGCCCTTTGTGGAGCCAACGTTTAATGTAAGACGTCCGATTATATCTCTCTGTATTGTAAAAAGATTTCGCCGCTGTCTCCAGGATTGTATTAACCATGTCAAAAACAGTGATTAAACGACATAACCTAAAAAATCAAGGTGTGATATATGTCAAAAACAAAGGTTATAGATGAAACATAACCTTAAAGTTCAATATAACCTCAAAAATTAAAGGTGTGATAATTCAAAAACATAAGTTAAAACGAAACATACACTGTAAAAAAATTGAATTTCAACTCCCTAGGGGATGCTATAAAAGTCCCACTCTTTTGGAGTTGAAGCGAAGGGAGTTAATGCTTTTCAAGTTAATTTTATGCCTAGGGAGTTGGTTTTAAGGAGTTAATTTCATTATTAACTCTTTTTTTGAGTTGATTTTTAACTCGAAAAATTTAACTCCCAGTAACGTTAACTCCCTAATTTTTTTACAGTGTAACATCAAAATTAAAGATCACTGATTAATGACGTGAATATAGCTGCAAGATATGCCTGACAAACATAACCTTAAAATTTAAGGTCATAAGTCAAACAATCTGATTTACAAAAAAGCCAGGGAATATTATCGAAAGAAATTTAATTAATTTTTGTCTACAAAAGAACTAAGATTTTTCAAAAGTATAAAATTATTTTTACATATTTAAAAATTGGAACAAAAGTCCTTATATAGTCAAATTTTGAAAATAATATAAGTAATCTGAAAATGACTGAATTTTATAATGCAATGCAAAATGATAAGTTAGACGAAATTCTGATTAATTTAAATTAGTTCCTGAATTTGCATTAAATCAGATTCAGTGAGAGAGTCTTCATTCATTCCCATCAGTGTGTATGCTCTTTTAATTTAAATAAAGTGAAAAGTGGGCCACTATATTTCAAATTAGTTAATTTATGTAAATGAAATGCTAATTTAGAATTTAAAACATTTTTATCATTACATTGCTTTCATTTATAAAATATATATTATTTTAAGATAAAAGGGATATTTACTCTTCAAATAGTCAAATAATATACCAATATAATTCTTGGTTTTAAATATATAGCGACGTAATAATTTATTTCTAATTGTCAATAACTGAAACTCAATTAAGACTAATCAATTAAAATTCCAATTTAACCCAATAATTAATTTACACTACACAAGATAATTAAATCTTCCAATAACTCAAGTTTATATCCAATAAATTTTGTCCATATATATTATACAAAAGAATCAAAAGAAAAAGAAAACATCTCAAGATATTATCAATCCGTCAACAAAACTGTAAAATTGGGCGATCATCGATTGCGTCCTGTAAGGGGAAGTTGCATACCCCCACTCTACCCGCCGGGCCATAAACACGGAGCTCGAGGGACGCATGCACCGCGGGGGGCCTGAGCGACGTTCTCGGGCCTAATGACATTTTCTATTTATGGCCCTTAATGAGTTTTTCCAAAAAAATAAAAAATTTTTAAATATTAACAATTTTTAATTTTTTTTAACATATTCTTATTCCTCGTAATTTCACGATTACGAGCATATGTTATTCGAATTAAAAATGTTAATATTTAAAATGTTTATAATTATTATTAAATAATATTAAATTTAATTGTTTCTTAATTTAATTATACTGTTTAAAAAACAGTATAAATTAACTAACATTTTCCCTTCACACTTACAGGCTTAGGACTGGCAGCATTTCACTTATTCGTGAAGGCTGGCGTGTTTAAAAAATGTGTGTTTATTTATACAAAACACAAAATCAGAACTTTTAAAAAATTGGCTTGTAAGCCAGTATAATATGAAAGCTTTGAAAGCTTTATTAAAATATATTTGGTTTTATTTAATTAATACATATTTGACTTGTAAGTCAGTATAATATGAAAGCTTTAAAAGCTTTATTAAAATATATTTGGTTTTATTTAGTACATATTTGACTTGTAAGTCAGTATAATATGAAAGCTTTGAAAGCTTTATTAAAATATGTTTGGTTTTATTAATACATATTTGACTTGTAAG